GGCAAGTCCAAGAATAACCAGTTAATGTTGAAACCAAGCATGGCTGAACAGAAACAGGATGACACTAAACATGACAAGAACTTAACAGACAAAAGGGAGACGAGATGCTATGCTTGGTATAAAATGGGGCACATTGCAAGTGATTACAAGTCTGTCTTCAACAAGCAGCAGCAGAAATCTCAACATAAAGAAGCTGGAGCTACCCAAAAAATTGGGGCTGGCAAGAAACAAGAAAAGAATGGCTATCAGAATAAACATAATAGAGACAACTTGTTAGTTTCACCACAAAAAGGAAGTGCTATCTTCATAATTAAACAGTGCACAACTGATGGTAAACTCAAGTTAGCAAATAGGTCAACAGTGCCAGTAGGTTTTGGAGCATTTGAAAAACATTGGGAAGTGCCAACAAACTACAACAGGTGAAGGCTATGTTAGGAACAAGAAAGTGAAAGTCGTATGAGAGAGTGGGTGCAGTAGAGAAAACCAGTCTAGTATCTGATGAACAGATGATGGGCAAGGTACACCTATGTGTGCTGATTGATGGGACAGTGAGAAAGTTTCACATAGCAAGAATACAATTGGACAATCCATACTATGTGGGAGATCTTGAAGCCATGTGTATGAAGGCACCAATCTACAACTTGGTGATTGGAAATACACCAGGCAGTAGAAGTTTGGTGGAACCAGGCAGAAAGTAGATTGATGAGGCATCTGCAGTCACCACAAGAACTCAAGAAAATAAAAGCATGCAATAAATCAAGCCCCTGCAAGTCTCGAAAGGCGACATCCCGAATGTAGGTCTACTAGAACTGAAGGAAGTGCAGAAAAAAAAGATGCTTTATTGCAGGAACATTGGGACAGTGCCTAAGAGAAAGTCAAACGCAAGACAAAGGGAAAATAGACTTACAAGATATAGAACTAAAAAGGAGTACTGTACAGTATTTATCAAAGCAGTTCTACTGAGGAAGCTAAATACATCAAAAGCAGTCAGAAGCATTTCTATGACAAGGCCAAGGATTGAAGTTTCAAGGTTGGACTGAAGGTCTTGGTTCTGCTACCTACAGACAACAAGCAACTCACCCTGCAGTGGAAAGGACCTTTTGAAGTGCAGGAAGTAATCAACAGAATGAACTATAAGGTGAAATTGGACGAGACAACCAAGATCTACTATGCCAACCTGTTGAAGAGATACTTCGAGTGGGAAGAAGACCTAACAAGTGGAGCTACTGAGACACAGATAGACATGGTAGGTGTAGCTTTCATAGATGCAGAACCAGAAAACAGTGACTTTGTCAAAGAAGATGAAGACCTACTAGACTTAAAGACCACTGGGTGAATATGAGACATACAAAGACATCAACATCAGTGAAGAACTTACTGGAAAGCAAAAGAAAGAGGTGTAACATCTACTATGTCAGTATACAGATAGATCAAGCAACACAAGATCAAGACAAAAACAAGGGATCCTGTCAAGATGAAGCCCTACCAGATGCCCTGTGCTAAGAGAGACCAACAGTTTCAGAGTTATTATTCAGTTTATTTAGTGATTATTTAGTTTTCCAAGTGACAGTTACGACAAGTTTCATTATGTAAATCTGTAAGAGTTATACGTTGTGTATGCAATCTAATTGTTGTACTAGGCTTTCATAATATTGCTGATGTCATCTTACTCGAAACTTCTAAGACTTTCTCGTTGTGTTTAATATTGTTGATACTAAAGGGTAGCCTAAATTTTTCTGTCGTGTTATAAATACGTGTAGATACACAGAGGAAAAAAGTAAGTTAGTGAAAGTTGGTTACATCAACAGTTGGGCTAGTTAGATCTGTAAGATAGTGAATATGAGTGCATTATGTTAGAAATGACTCAACTTAACCAGTAGGATGTTTGACAACCCTCTTAATATACTCAGTACAGATTATTTAAACTAATGGGAGCTTGAAAAAGTAGGAATAAACAAACTAATAGAACATCTAGAGCAATGAAGAGTTTGAAAATAGGAAAGTTATAGCATAAGAAGTTAAATATTAGTTTTAAAGATAAGAATGTTATACTTGAGGATAAACATAGTAAATTCAAAACTAGCTTATTCCTATTATTCTATTAGGAAGAGAAGAGTTTACAGTTCTAGTTGAAAGAGAGAGTATGAATTACTGAAGTTTGGTTAGATAGGGAGAATATTTATAGTAGGAATTACTTTAAAACTAGCTAATGTACCAGTTCAATGCATGGAGAAAACACAGAGGGACAAGAACTCGTTTATAATAGGAATTACTTTAAAACTAGCTGATGTACCAGTTCAATGCATGGAGAAGACACAGGGGGACAAGAACTCGTTTATAATAGGAATTACTTTAAAACTAGCTGATGTACCAGTTC